ATTTCACCCCAAGCAAGGCAGGAGTGCCACTAGTATGCAAGGGATTACAGAGTGAAAGTAAGAGAAAAGACTGGGTATGGGGGGGCATTGAGAAAGATAAAAGAAGAACAAGGATCAAGACATCAGAAGATGATGATTGACATTACATTCAAATTTTGAAGATTATAGTTATCAGAGAAGCAAATAAGAGGAAGGAAGTTCCACTGTCGGGAAGTGTGAGAGAAGAAGCTGTTGGAGTAGAAGAGGCGGTTACATTTAACTGTTTCATCAGTAAAAGGGTGTGACCGAGTTGTCAACCTAGTAGCACGCTTGAATTCATGCAGTCGGGGCAACAGTGAAAATAGCTCATCAGAGCAGATGCCATGAAAATATTTGTAGAAAAGACAGAGGGAAGCCACATCATGTCTGTGAGAGAATGACTGGAGTCAAGATACTAAGTCAGGACTGATCAAATTGCATATCTGTCTTTGGACTTTGTCAAGAACCTTGAGATGAACAACAGAGGTACCAGACCATATATGGCAACAGTAATCTGTATGTAACAATATATTATTAAGAAATTTTATTGGTCAAATTATAGATGATGATGTCATGCAAATTTTTCCTGGTTGCTATTTCACAAATGTATGTTTTCTGCCAATTGTCATGTGACTTTTGCAATACCCTGTATTTTAAATGTATGTGAGAGGGTGGGGGAATCTTATGTTTTACATATCATCAAATATGTCTAATGAATAGAAATTAAAGTAATCAGTAATTAGGTACCTGTTGTAGATAAAACAAAAGTAATTGCACAGATGAGAACCTGTGAAATTACCTTTGTTTTATCTACAACAGGTACCTCATTACCATCTGTTTGAGTATTTATGTTAGGTATCCTTGAATGTTATTTTCTCTAAGTTGACTGCTTGTCGTATTGCATTAAGTGTTTCACCCTACAGGTGAGACAAAATGAAATGCTCTTTTGACAATGTTATCAATTCATTTATGAGAAATTACTTATTCATATTAATGAACTATTGCATCAGCAAAAATTATATCCCCTTAAAAACTTTAACAGTTTCCAGCCCTTAAAAAGTTTTTATTTGTTGACCCTGGAAGTCATATGAAAAAAAAAAAAAGTAGTCCTTTAAACTATATTACCTACTCAAAATATTTGTGATAACCCTGTTATACTTCTATTCATCATGGTACGGAAATGTGAGGTTTGTATAGATGTAACCACTCCCCAATAATTGAACCCTTCTGTTGTAGAGTAAGGCTGTTTAAAATAAAAATGGGGTGTCTATTTCAAATTGGGACTCCTGACAATAAATCTTGTATATATAAGTGGATTCTGAGGTCAACACCAAGTGACAACAGTCTGTCTCGTGCTTAAATGCAATCTTCAAGCCTGGAGATTGTGTTCAAACATGAAAAGGTCTGTTGTCGCTTATTGTTGATCTCAGTGTCCACTTTTCTATTTACACTTACTCTTCTTTTCTACTGCAAGAATGGACTGCTCTTACTTATAAATATGGCAAGTAGCCACATTAGAACAGGATTTGAGTAGTACTTATTTACACTAGTTTTTCTGTTCTATGTATCATTATTTAATAAACCTCATTTTCTTTGTTTCCTCTACTTAGTCTTCTGTTCCTTCGATATTCTCACTAATTACAGCCTTCCTAATTCTTGCCTATTTTGAACAAAGACAGCATTACAACACCTTTACTCTATTTTCTCCTTTCAAATTTCAGGTATAATGAGTTTTAGCCAGGTATTTGGTAATAAAACCCTGACAGGAAATATACTCATATCCAGCTGGAAATATCTTGCATTCTTCTGACAGATCCATATATTTGTCTGGGTTAGCCAACATTTTCCTTAAATAATTTCTGTCTGAATTTCTATGATGAAGTTATCATTATTTGCACTATTTTCATGCAGACTATTCACCCTCATCTTTGTTGTTGTCATAATGTTTTGGCTGTTGGGTGCTCTGGCCTTCATAAGGTGTATGTCAATCCAGGTAACCTACAGGGAATTCTGAACTTAACCATTCATTTAATTTACAGATATAAATTCTCATTCCACTACCTGCATCTAAGAATATCTTGTCTTGTTGTTTTTTTAGTAGGGCTCAGTTATTTATCTTCCTTAAAAGGGTGTGAACATTTTTTACATTAACCTGTTCTTTGCCGTGGATGAACCCGTCTTAGAAATCTTCAGTTAAGTGCCATGGACAAAGTAATTACATATATTGAGTTTATTACCATGGACAAGATACCTTGTACTTTCACATCGTGAATTTAGTGTCACAGTATAAGATAATGTATCATGACAAGTTGTCAGTTTAGTACCATGGACACAATAACAAATCTTATATATAGTGCTATTCATTCAAAAGATGGCAGTATCTCTTTGTACAAATAAAGGGAATTCATATTTTAGTAATATGACCCCAATGGTAAATGTTCTACATTATTTTTGTTCTCGTCTTTGTTATTATCAAAACATTTTGACTGTGTCACTTTGAGTGATCCTCAGGGAATTTTGAACTAAATCCTTTCATCTTGGGGATAGATTATTTTCATTCCACTGTCCATATTCAGTAATATCTCAGCTTGTTCTTTTTTGTATTGTACAGTTATTACTTGCCTTTTTTTTCCACTGAATCACTCTACACTTTTTTTTAATCATTTTGCAAGCAAGGAAATAATGCCACTAAGATGCAAGGTGTTGTTGGAAGTGAAAGAGAATGAAAAGATTAGTGAGGAGAAAGGACAATAAAAGAACATGATCCAGGAAGAGAAATTGGCAATTGATGCTGCATTTAAATTTTTGAAAATTGTAAGTGGCAGAGAAGCAAGAAACCCAAGAGAGTTCCACAGGTGAGAATTGCAAGAAAAAAAACTCTTAGAATAGAACTTACATGACATTTAGTTAATTCAGCAGTAAAATAATAAAATCTAGTTGTCAATCTATTAATACACCTAAATTCATGAAGTCATGCTACCAATGAGGAGAGTTCATTAGAACAATTGCCATGAAAATATTTATAGAAAAGACAGAGGGAAGCCACATCACGGTAGTGGAAAAAATGACTGAAGACAAAGTGCCATGTCAGGACAAAATAACATCAAAAATTCTTCTTTGGATTTTGTTGAGAATATCAAAGAAAATATAGCAGGAGCATCTGATCAGATATGGCAGCAATATTCAAAGCATGGATGAATGGTAAATTTATAAATGCACAAGATGGCTTATTGTGAGAAAATTATCTGGCCTAACAGTGAAACAACTTTTCTAGTTGCAGACCTAAGCACTTGATTCAATATAATCACTCCACTTCATTTATTAGTTACTGTTTCCCTCTGTCCATTACTATAAAAAAGAAATGTTTTAAAGACTCTATGAAGGTTTTCTATTTTCATCAATTTGTTTTTACAACAGAATTGCAGGACTACACTTAACAAAAATACTTGGTAGTGAACAGGCGAACTGAACAGATGCCAATGACCAAAGTATACTAAACAGCCTATATGTTCTCAGCTGGAAAGGTGAGAATATTTTAAATCTATTGCTACTTTCCAATGTTTATGACCATCAAACAATAACGATTTGCACTTTTTACTAGAAATGCTGATTTGACTGCTTCTCACCTGAAAAATCTATTTTTACTGGTGAGGTAATCAAAATTTCAGGAGTAATTTCACATCTTTTTTGTAGTCTTGTCAAGAAACTTGAGCATTGAATTGTGTGTAGTTTTATGGTTTCTCAGAGGATATTTATATTGACTGAGTATGTACTTGAGGCTAAGCTTTTTTATCTCTGCTTTTCATTGGTCAGATTGTTTTGAATTACACAGTTTGAAGTTTGCATTAGAGTGGGCATATGATGTTAGTTGGAAATTTATTTTCCTTGGTTTTAGCAGTTTAAGATACTGTCATACTGTATGTGTGTGTATATATATATATATATATATATATACAAATGACTGATAAGGTATTGCAGTTCATTTCCTTGTCAGTTGTTTTAATGAAAAGAGATTGCTGCTCAAATACACTTGTGTGTCCAGTGAGCAAAATAAAGGGTTCAGTTCGACATTCCAACCACCTGAAGAATTATAAAGAGTGTACAATGGCCAAAACATTGTAATGATAAATATATAACAAAAATGAGGACAATAGTCCAAATAATATAAATAGTGTACATAATACCTCATATCAGAAATATAGACAGATACTGATTAACATTCAACTTGCTGAGTAAACTCCTATTTGTCCTGACCTAAAGGGGAACCAACCTGTCCCTGAGCCTGAGTTTTCATGACAGAAATGCATGTTTTCTATTTTCCATTCAACAGTAAAAAAAAAAAATTAGGTCTTGATGATAAAGATTAAAGGCTGGACCTCTAAGTATAATAATTTTTTATTATTTAATTAGGAACTTTTATTTTTGTGTGATTTATCTATGCATACAATTATAGATGTATTTTCTTTCAATCATTCTGTTTATTTTCAAGTGGAACATATACAATTGCATATATAATCACTATAACATCAAACTATTTTTTTTTGTCTTTTGAACATGGAAAGACTCTCTTCATCTCTCTTGAGTACCATCAGACTTCCCTGTGGCAGATAGGGTCACAGCTTCACTTCACTAGTTGTTGCTGCTCATGTTTCTCGAGCAAGTACTTTTTTTTTATGGAATGGAGTTGCCAGCCCTATACCCAAATGATTTTAAATTCAGTTATCCTTCTAGACTGGTTTTAAACCAAAACTAGAGATCCCAGTCTGCCCTGTTATTTAACCTGCTTGGTATAAGTACAGATTTTGTCTATTCATACCATTCGCAATTGTATTTATGTAAAATTGAATGTAACAAACTAACCAGAATTGAAATCCAGTTGATTCCACTCTCACATCAGTAACTACTACATGCATAATCAATAGAAATTCTAGTCATAATTTAAAAAAAAAAAATACTTTCTGGTCCAGTAGAAATTCCATTCAATGTTGGAAAACTGTTCTTTTTCATCCTTTGCCTGTATCTTCTCATTCTCTCCTCCTCCGCCTGTATTTTCTCATTCTCTCCTCCTCCGCCTGTACCTTCTCATTTCTCCTCCTCCGCCTGGCCTTCTCATTCTCTCCTCCTCCGCCTGTACCTTCTCATTTTTTTTCCTCCTCCGCCTGTACCTTCTCATTTCTCCTCCTCCGGGAAAACCTTCTCATTCTCTCCTCCTCCGCCTGTACCTTCTCATTCTCTCCTCCTCCGCCTGTATTCTCTCATTATCCTCCTCCTGTATATTCTCATTCTCTCCTCCTCCGCCTGTACCTTCTCATTCTCCTCCTCCGCCTGTACCTTCTCATTCTTATAAAACCTCCTCCGCCTGTACCTTCTCATTCTCTCCTCCTCCGCCTACATTTCAAAAGATTCCTCCTCCGCCTGTACCTTTTATTTCTCCTCCTATATCCTACCTTCTCATTAAATATCCGCCTGCAACCGTCTCATTCTTTCCTAGTGACTTGTCTTTTCTCTCCTCCTTTGCCTGCACCTTCTCATTGATCCAAAAATGCACCTTCTCATTCTCTCCTCCTCCGCCTACCCTCATTCTTATTTAATACAATCCTTCTCATTCTCTCCTCCTCGCCTGTACCTTCTCATATCTCCTCCTCCGCCTATACCGTCTCATTCTCTCCTCCTCCGCCTGGGCATTTTCATCTAATTCTCTCCTCTTCAAATTTGTATCTTCTCATTCTCTCCTCCTCCGCCTGTACCTTCTGTTTTCTCCTAATTCCGCCTGTAATTGGGTCTCATTCTCTAAAAATATAAAATTCCGCCTGTACCTTCTCATTCTCCTCCTCCGCCTGCACCTTATTCATTCTCTCCTCCTCCATAATATTTGTTTCTGCTTGTCATTTTTTTTTAACCTAAGTTCTATACAAACATGGATTTGTTTATATGAAAAAGAAATGGAATGAGCAATTCACAAATAATCAGAATTTTACTGGTTAATAATAGTAAAAAAAAAGTGTTTTAATTTATTTTTCAATTTACTTCCTTGTCAGTGCACTTCATTCAGTGATGAATATTAACTATATATATTAAATATTATACAATGTAAATTTCATTTGAGACCATTCAGAATACAGATTTATTGATACACCATTGTATATATCACTAACACAAGTAACGAACATACTTAACCAACACTTTTACCCATAACCCAATATCCTACTAGAATCATTTTAAACTGAAGCCTTTTTTCTATATATCAAAACTACAGGATGTGGCAGAAATAACTCCCAGATAATGGTAAGATATCAGCTAGATGAAGACTCCATTGTTACTAATGTCTTACTATTTTGTAGGAGGTAATTCTACCACACACTGTATAATTAGAAACTATAAATTTGAAAAATGAAAATTTGCAAGTTTTTATCTCCAATCAAGGAAATGTGAACTTCAAGCAAAAATGATGACAATATATGTAAAAAAAAAAAAAAAAAAAAAAGAACTAAGTGAGTTTAAACCAACTCCAGAACGACATGAGTTAAGCCATTGTCTTGTAGATTTCAGAGGATTTTATTCAAGTACTGGCCAGCAATATTTGAAGATATTTTATTACAAGTTTATTCTCTTATTGTTGCTTTTTATAACAACACTCTAGTTTGACATTCCCTATGTTTACTATCTGTATTTCACCTTATTACTTATTGTTGCAATATTCTGGGTTGACACACTTTTTATTACAACTCTTTTATTACGAGTTTTATTCTATCTTATTGTGGCTTTTCAAACACCCTGTTTTGATAGACTTTTAGGCCAAAACAGAACAATTCCAAAGACTTTCATCCTGCCTTTTATGTGTTTGTCTTTCATGTGTTGGTTTTTCATAGTTATCATCCTAAGCACTTTGTCCACAGAAGTTTCAATGATTCTTTATACCATCTTTGTTTATTTTTTTGTTTTTTTCCTACAATAATAATACTGGAAATATTTCATTAAAAAAAAGTCAAATAATATTTTTTGATGTTTATAAAAGAAAAAGTAAATTTTTATTTTGTTTTTCATGCTCTGTATAAAAATGTTAAGAGAAATGATGTTAACAACAAAATAAAAATGTTGATACTATTTAATAGTAACATTCTAAACTACTCAATGATGCTGCTGTGGGCTCAGTAGCAAGGTTTTACAGGATGTGTTACCAGCCCTACTCTCAATCAGTATTACTGTATTTTCTGTCTTACAAGATGCTGTAGCTGGGAAGATGCACCCTAATATTAGAAAGAAATTACTTAAAAAAAAAAAAAAAGAAAAAAAAGGCATTCTCATACAACACATTCACCATGCATCCCTCACATACTGATGCCACATATTGTTTACATTAATCACTTGTCCGATATTGTTTATATGGCAATGACATACTGTATAAGAGCAGAAAGGCTCCCAACACTGCTAGTAAACAGAGCATGTTTAAGCTTGTGGCTCAGCTTCAGGAAGGTTTATAGTCTTGGAAATACTTGTAACAGCTAAATACTGAGGTTACATCATATAAAAGGCTGAATTAGATAGCTAACATAATAGTGTAATGACTCAATATACAAATCCACGTCCCTATCAGTCAAACCAATTAGGTGACCATCCAAGCTTACTTGAGCCTGAGCATTGATTTACATTCAACTTAGATGAGGCACGCATATTTTTCAGGGGAAAAGTGCGTATTGTAAGCCAGAAAATATGGTAGTTCAGAGTTGTCCTTATCTGAAACTGATTGTCAACTAAGTTGAAAGACCCCAGTCTGCTGTGCTATTTTACTCATAGTTGGGGAGAGAAGTGGATTCATACTTTTCTCAAAGGCATTAGTGCAAAGTGAAGATAAATTTAGCTCACCTAGTGGATTAAAATGTTGATTTGTGAATAGTAATTGTGAGTTCAATCTCTGGGCTGGGTAGTGTGTGCATGGACTCGGTGTAAACAGGGTAACCAATAACTGAGCAGTACTAAAAATATGTACTAGGTGAGATATCCCTCAGTACGGGCTGTGGAATGAGAACTATCTACCTCTGTAGTTTAAATAAAGGATTCAGTTCAAAAAGTTACCTGGATTGATATACAAAAATGATCCAATAGTCTGCTTATAAATAATAACTCATCTCAGAAATTTAGACAGAATTTGAACTTTGCTTGCCAGTTTGATTTTCCCCACATTATGCTATTTTTTTTTTTTTTTTCTTTTTGTTTTTTTTTTTTTTTTTTTTTTTTTTTTTTTTTTTTTTTTTTTTTTTACAATAATGTTCACTCTGTACAAGGCCAAGGAATCACTCCATAAATATGAAAGAAAGGCTAGTCTGAAACTAATAATGAGCAACACAAAAGCAAGCAACAAAATGTGTCATGTCCCATCAGGATGTGAATGATCATGGTTCTCCACATCCTTTGTAATTCCTTTCCACTTCACTTCTGCCATCCATTTACACAAGCTTATTAGGTAGGTTACTTGCTGTTTTTCTCTGTCCTTCTTGCTTTCATTATCTCCAGTGAGTTTAAATTCTCCAAACCCTCTTTCCTCATTATGCACCCTAAAAATTTTAACTCACCAATCCCCAAATTTAAGCAATGTTAAACTTGGTCAGTGACTAGATGGGTGACAGTTTGGAAGTACCTGGTATTATAAGCTTGGATGTGTGGGTGGTGTAATGGATAAAGGCTCTGAGTTAGAAATCAGAGCTGAGTTCAAATTCCAGTTGGATTCACTTACATGCAAATACTCTTGGGAAAAGTACAAATTCATCTCTTCTCCTCCCATTTATGCATTAAATAGTAAGACTTGTATAAAAAAAAATCATTATTTCCAAAAAATGCCCAAATTCCCCAGCTGGGTTATATAGGAGGACTTGGATTTCAAAAAATCATTATTATTCTCAAATAATTGTTAATGAAAAAAAAAATCAAAGAAAGAATTAATTTTACAATCCCAAAATTCTTTTGGTTTTAAATAACTCCATAAAAACAAAGCAATCAATCCTTTGTAAGGAAATTGTCCAGCATTCACTGCTATATAGGAGGACTGCTATCACATAATACTTTGAAACTCTTTTCTTTCATTTTTAATTAAATTTTTCTGTTTCTTAATTCTTTGCTTAGCATTTGGAAGGCAACTTTGCTATTCCAGTGCACCTATAGGGGATAAATAAAACAAAAGTTATCTACCCTTGGTTTTCCACCAGGGGAAAACTAAAAATAAGGAGTTATCAACTCCTTCATCTTTATTGATAGAGATAGCCATGTTAAGTAAAGGCTAAAGCCCCATGTGATCCCAACTTCATCATTCTGAGTCTTTACTCTCCAAATACCATTTAACCATATCCTACTTCCAAAACCTTCCACATGCCTTTGGTTTTAACTGTCATGTTTTTTGTCCTCTGTTCATACTTGTTTGATTGTAGCATCTTCAGTTTGTAATTCATGCCTTGGACTGTTCCTCTTGCTGACAAGCATACACTTCTTACAATTGATGTTTAGTCTTTTCTTCTCCTTTTCCTTTACGACCTTCCTTTCTCTTGGGGTTTCTGCAGTTTCCTTTCAGTGTCTATCAACACTGTGTCACCTGAATATCTTATACTGTTAAGATTGTGTCTGACAATGATAATCCACCATGTTAGAATTTTGGAAATGCGAGTAAGAATTTTTATTAATTTTTGAATAACATTTCTTACATATTATCTCTGTTATCTCTGGGAGGCTTATTCTTTTGTTCTTTTTAGGTTTGTTGGTAATAAGTTAACATGCTATAATTTTTTCATTCTGATTTCTAATATGAAAAGCACCCAAAACAATTTTAATCATCTGAACTGAGAAAAAACAAAAACATTTTGACAAAGTATAAAAAAATATTATTTGAGTGATGATTGCAGATAATTATTTACTTGCTAATTTTATTCTCTTAGCGGATTTTCAGGCATTTTTATTTTTTTTTAAAGATTTATAGCAGATAATGATCATTATAAAAGGGGAAACGTTACCATGGAATGGTAGTTAGTAAGCTAATCTTAAAACCATTATAACCAACTTCTATGATTATATTAAAGTAATCCTCCCTTATCCACAAGGAAAATGTTCCAAAACTTTCAGCAGATGGCTGAAGCTGTGCATAGTACCAAGTTATATATATATATATATATATATATATATAGAGAGAGAGAGAGAGAGAGATAATATTAGTGGTAAATATACACATACATATGCAAAATATATACATACATGCATACATATATTTTTTTTTTTTTTTTTTAAATTAAAAAATTCCAAGAGGATAGAATCCAGGATATAATAAAAAGGCTTAAACACTAATATTCCATGGTCATAATTCCATTGGAATCATAAATACGATCCAATTCATCAGACCTACAAATTAAAAAAGAAAACGGAAAAAACAACTCTAGAAATAAAAAATAAAATTTAGAGAGCGTGTAAGTATGAGAGTGTGGGACGAATGTTAGAGTTAAAGAGAGGGGTAACAGATGAGAGAAAGTGGGAGATTAAAATTTAACAGAGAAGTTTTAGAGAGGGGAGTCAAAGACGGTTTAAGTGAGAGAAATATGAATGTTGTCGGATGTCT